AGCTTTGAACCTTTCTTTTTGAGAATAATCTACTTGTTTTAGCATAGAGCCCGTTTGTTTTCTTTTAGAGACACAGTATGTTTGTCCATTTGAGTAATTTTGGGGAGATCAATGCATATCTTGAGCCGCAAATGCCATGATGATTGTGCAACGAAGCAGGTTGTTGTTGTTTAGAGTATTACGTCACTTTGTGCCCCGGTCTACCCTCTCCTCTTCTTCCAAGATGGCGAACGAAGCCGAACAAAAGAATCTCAAACCCTTCCCGCATTTCGGAACTTTGGCGATCCATGCTGGCCAAGAACCCGAACAGTGGAATTCTAGGGCAGTTGTGCCGCCGATTTCTATGGCTACAACATTTAAACAGGATGACCCAGGAGTTCATCGTGTGAGTTTCTCGTCATCTTACGTGAAAAATTCGCAACGATCAACGCTGCTGTACCTCTGATCTTTCTGCTTCTTCTAGGGATTCGAATACTCGCGGTCGGGGAACCCTACCAGGAACTGCTTTGAGGCTTGCGTGGCGGCTTTGGAGGGTGCCAAGCATGGTAAGGAAATATAGCCTTTATCCTCCACGTGAACCCCACACGTGAATAAAATTTTTGTTTTGGTTACTTATAAGGACATCGCGATTAGTCCACATTATAAGCTTTGAAGAAAACAGAAATAATTGCTGGAAATATTTTGTCAAACTGGTTTTCAAAGTGATTTCTTCTAATGGACAATGAACAAACATGTTTCTTGCCCCAGGGTTAGTTGGAATTGCTTTATGAGAAATCTTGGCCGGGGTATGAAAAAGTTTGATGGCAATCCCAATCGTTTTCATAAAAGAGCAGAGATCAGAAAACCCTAACAAATGACCTCAATTGTGAAAAATCTATAATACCTTTGTTATGCTCTCTGACCTCTCTCTTCAATAAACACATCACTTTGATCAATCAAAACTCAAAATTACTAACTAGTGATAAACACGCAGACACGTTTGGGCCAAAGAATTCTGTTTATTGATGAAAATTACAATGTTGCGCCCCCGGGAGGGCGGGAGGGAAAGCGAGCTCGAACACGAACCTAGCAGACACAACTAGCTATCTAACAGCGTGGAAACGCGAACATGATACTCTTATTGAGCCATCCCCGTTATTAATTAAACTCGTTTCTTTTTTGGGATTTGATGATTCTGGCAAGCTTTGAGACTCCCCCCTCTTCCAACCTGGTGTTTCTGCTGACTATCCTAGGGGTGGGTAACAAGACATTTCCTGAACATGTAGTCCTACTGATGAATGTTACTTATGCAGTTGAGTCTACATGTGAACAATACAGACTTTGGCTTATTTATAAGAACTTTCAATGTGTCTGGTAATTCCACAACTAGAAATAGTCAGACTTAGGGGAGTATAGAGGGGAGAATGAATAATGAGAACTGACTAAGAAGTACCAGTATGTGTTACAAAATTATTATGAAATGTGCAAGTGGATATTAATAATTACTAATGGTACGACCTCTCTATTTCGACACGTCCTTAGGCTTGGCTACCTCTTCTGGTCTGTCAGCCACAATGTTATTGACTCACTTACTTAAGAGTGGGGAACACATTGTTTGCGTGGATGATGTTTATGGAGGTATGCAGTGATTGAGTAATATTTATATGATATTTAATAATTATTGGATAGTGTCAAGCAAAATCTTGAGATTTGGCAATGGGGAGCTGATAAATCATTTGCTTTTGACTAGGAAAAATAATTGTTTGATAACACACAGACAATTTGCAATATTATAAGATTACAATACTCCATAATTGTTTTACCATCAGACAACTATTTTCAGGAATCACAACACAAGAACATGCATACTGATATTAGGTTGTAAAGGGTTAAGCATGGGAAAACCATGTCGTAAAGTAGAGACAGTGTTTTACCATTGATGATTTAAGGTTTTAATAACCTGATTCCCAATTATAGAAGTACAAGAGAGATACACAAAAGTTACTGATTAAGCTGTAAGTGAATAAACACAGAAGACATACACAAAACTATTTCTTATAATAAAGTAAAGTATGCAGATTCCAAGTTTGCAACATGTCATTAAGAGAGTTCTTTACATGATGTATTTTAGTTGTATACTGTATTTTTATTACAGTATACAACAAATCATTATACCAGAAAGAAAGAAAGGAAGTAATGCATTCAACTTATTATGTGAAAGGCCCGAAATTATTGAAAGCACTAAGTTTGCCGTCAGAGTAAGCAACATCAACATCACATCAACATCATAAATCACAGGAGTTGAAAAGTTTATAGAGGCAAACCACAAATTTGTGTCTAAAAACAAGTACAGACAGCTGTCAAGTGCTTGTTTTGACTTCCAGATCTAGTGTGGACCCAACTTCTATAATACACAGCTTTTTTATACAAAACATTTTATCTGATTTTTTTTTGTACTGACAGGTACCAATAGGTACTTCTCAAAAGTGGCTGCAGCAAATATGGGAATAGAAATATCAATGGTGGATGCAAGTGATTTGAGTAAACTGAAAGCTGCCATTAAACCTAAAACTAAGGTTAAAAAAATTTTCAGTGGTGCTTTTTCAGCAAACTATTATAATTACATGTTACACACTACTGATGAATATTAGTATGACAGCTCTCATACATTGAGGGTAAGCCAGAAGTTTTCATGTGAAAGAATGCAGTTTGCTTCTGAGTGATCTCAAAAAAATATTTTGCTAAATAATTTTTTGAGGATTGAGCATTAAAAGGAGGAATTATTGAAATTACTTCATCTTTAAATGTGTTATCTATCGA